TTCTTTTTCTTCTTCTTTATTTTCGTTCCCCCCTATAAAAAAAAAAAAAAAAAAAAAAAAAAAAAAAAACAAAAGAACAAAAGAAGAAGAAGGTGAGTTGTACTGTTGTACTGTAGTAGTTGCTTAGGGCCACAGGACGTCTTGTTCGATGGTGGTAGCGAGTAGTGACCACTTAACTGTTCCTAGTTTCAAGGCTTTAAGCATAATCCATCCATGTTATGTTATGTTTGTTACTACCACCACAGATGCCCCACCATATGGCATATGCCCATGCCCCGCGTCTCATCTTATCGCAACCCAAATGGTTGACCCTATGTCATGCTGGTCAAGTCTTCTCTTGCCGTGTCAAGTACTGCGATATTAGTACCTTTGAATGCGTATTAGATGGGAAATTAATAACTTACATGTATGGACGATTTTATTCATTTTTCAGAAATTTATTTGATGTGCATATATTTACGTATAGCTTCTAATTTAGTTTATTGTTGTGCTTATTAGAAAATTTAGCTAATTAAGCATATTATTTTTCGAAGTCATTAGCTTTTGCTAATAGTTGAATTTGAAAATTTATGTACAAAATAGACGGGTTTCTGTTGAGTCTAGGCGGTTAACTATGCAATATACAATAATATATTAAACTTATTGGCAATGCTACATGTATAATTGTAGTTGACAATATTAGCTAAAAGTATCATTAACTCAAATCTTAATCATACATTTATTTGCATTTTAACCACCCACACTATGCCGCATCATGTTATCATTGTATGTTGTATAAAAAAATTGTACAAGTAGCTTTTTCCTAAACTTAAACATCGAGTGTTTCACTTGCAAAATATGGGGGCCAACATGGAGTTAATTGACCTTTTAAGATCTTCGTTAGATGAAGCATTTCGTTTAAACTATTTAGGTCTAGCTAGGTGAGAAAAATTGGGATAAATTATCCTTCTCGTACATAAAATTATCATAAAAATATTATTCATTAATATAAGTACATGATAAAATAAATATATTTTTTCATGTAAAAATAAAATTTATTTTTGTTATTTAACAACTAGTGTGTATTCTGTGTGGTGCACGGTGCAAGAATTATATAAAGTAAAGTAGTGAAAAAATATTGATAAGTATAAAAATATTTTTGAATATTAATATTATTTTTTATATTTTTTCTATTTTTATGATATATAATATTTTAGTATATGATTTCTATGTTCATTTATTAAAATTAAGAAACATAACAATTTGTCATATTCAAACATTATCAATGAATAATAGTCGCAAAAATATTTTTCTTTTTCCTTACTCATACATTATTATAATATATTATTTAAATTCTAAATAAGTGATGTAGAGTTGAAAAATTGTAACAAATATTATAAACTGACACTTAATTTAAAAAGAATGTACTATATATTATTTAAATGTTATAAAATTTAATAATTTTTAATTACAATCAAATTTATTTAATTATTTATAATATTCATATTGTAAAAAATTTAAATTATCTTCTAGTCTAATAATTCATATAATAGTTAAAATCAATTGATTTATCATTATAATTTATAATAATATATATTAAAGAAATTTTAATTTTTTTTCTATGCTAACAATTTATATTGTTTTTCGGCAGATAATTTGTTTGTTTATCATTATAATTTATAAAAACATACTTTTAAATATTTTGTTTTTTATTTCTATGTAAATAATTTACATGCATAGTTTACAGATGATCTATTTTTATATATTATAAATATTTTGATTTTCTTTCTCAACTTATAATTTACATGGTAGTTCGAAAGATAACTCACTGAATTATTATAATTTATAATTATTTTTTATTTTTATAAACTAATAACTTATATGATAGTTCGATGAATATTCAAAGTTATGCAATTGATATGCGACATTTATGCGATTCATTCACATCGTTTTCGCACTTGGGTGAAAAAGTTAAATAGGCAATAACAGTGTAAAAAATATAATATAACAGTGTACAAAATATGGGTCATTTTTATTAATACACCCCTAGTCCCTTAGTAGGCTAGGAGGAGGCTTCAACTAACTAACTAACTATATTTTATCATCATTCCCACATAAGAACCTCTACAAATACACACTGTCCTTTGCCTTTCTTTTCTCCTTCCCCAACACTATTCCCAAAATATTACATACTATCTCTTCATATATTAACAGCTACAATCAGGCCATGGCGAGGCCTTTCCCCAACTCAATTACTGTCCAGGCCATGAAGAAGCTCAACTTCTTACCGGGCCCCATTACCTTCTTAATAGCCTTAACAGCGCTTCTCTCCTTATTTTCCTTGGTAAGTTTCCTCTGCGGCTCAGCTCATGGTAGGTCTCGGAGGGGCAACCGCAGAACTGTGAGGCTGGGCGGCCCAAAGAAGCCAGTGATCGAGAAAATGAGCAGCAAGGCGCTTTTGATGGCTAAGATGATTTCTTGGAGGAAGGTTCAGGATGAGGGCGAAGCACAGGATTCCGACTCTGGGAAGGAAGAGGATGCGGACGGTGTCGTTTGGAAGAAGACAATTATCAAGGGAGAAAAGTGCCGCCCAATTGATTTTTCCGGCAAGATCTTGTATGATGCTGACGGGAACCTTCTGACGGACGACTAAGCAAGCCCAGAGAGTTGCCATTCTT